TTCCCTAGGTCAAGAACCCTTTTCCACTTAACTACCAACAAAAAAAAAAACACGAAACAAATTGCTCTCCCAAGTGGTATAGAGATTTATCATGTGGCAAGAAATTGCAAGTGTCATGTAGGGCAAGGACTCTGGGTCGAAAGAAAGAAATAAGAAAAACTTACCATGAACGAGCCATAAAAAAAAAAAGCTGGAAATTTCTAAGGGCTTTCTGTTTGGTTTTATACACCCAGTAGCCCAGTCCTCATAAAAGAGAGTGGGAAAAAGGAAAAGAGAGAACGGTCATTTCCGGATAAGATAGTAGAAAGAGCCCATCAGTCACAAATATAGAATTAGATGCAAAAAGGAGAGAATGGATCTATCTATCCTGATAAATAGAAGAAAGAGAGCTGGGACCTTACCGTTAAAAAAAAAAAAACAAGAGCTGGGACCTTACGGTTAAAAAAAAAAAAAAACAAGAGCTGGGACCTGGTCTTTAGAGATCTACAAGGGCTATAGTCACATCACATAGGGTCTGTTTGGATGATCCTTAGTTTCATCAAGAGTTGACATCATTTTTGAGACTAATATACCCTGCATAACATTGTTTTTATCTTTCTCTTTGGAGACATATGATAACAGTGCAATGATGCACAGAAGATCACCTGCTCCTGTGCAAGGATGACACGCGCAAATCGAGAAATAGACCAATTTTTAATTTGTCAAAAAAAAATATTGTTTTGTTAGAGGTTTGAAAAACAAATCGGTGACCCCAATCATCCATCTGAAAAATCAGGTTGGATCGGTGGATAGATTGAAAACTCAGTCAGACCAGCACGATTTGGCCTTAAAAAAAAATCCCTAAAAATGTTATTTGAGTTTCAAGAAAAAATAAATAATGCACTATGAATTTTCGTTATCTTGGAGAAGTAAATGAATATTTAAATACCGTTTCTTGTTTAATTGCATGCTGATCACATTTTGGTTATTTCTGCTGATTATTTCAATGAGGCTTTTCTCCTTCTCTGTCTAGAGATGATAAGGGAGGACATATGCGTTGTATTTTCTATTCCATTTTTATTTATTTTTTTAAATTAAAAAAACTCAATTTTTGATTAATTGAATCATTTCCAAAGTCTGGCTTCATTCTCACAATTACAAAAAAGAAGAAGAAGGAATTCTCTCCAAATATCAAAAAATGGGTCTATTTTTAACTTTGGCACCATAACAAGAAGGCACTGCCCCTATAGATATTTTCGTTATCAGTAGGGGCAAAGACAAAGAAGCAATCATTACCAGATATTTTAACCACATCCTTCTTTGCTCTCAACTTCAAATGTCTCTGTTTACTGCCCGCTATATGAGATTTAGCAAACAAAAAGTATATTATGCCAATTAAATAGATCTAAAGTGTAATAATTAATATTAACAAAAATATAGAATTTAAAAACATGAATTTCTAATCACGTTTTAATGCAATTGGAAACATAAATAAATAAATTTATGCTTGCAATGAAAAATAATAGAAAGAGCAACTTGAAAACGGTTTCTTAAATGGACGTATAAACTAAAGGTGATCCATGAACTATTATTATTTTATTTTTTAATATCCTATGAACTAGTGTTATTTATCCTAGAGTTTAAAGGTACTCCCTGAGCTATGGTTATTTTATTTTTTTTAATATCCCATGAACTTGTGTTATTTATCCCAAAGTTTATTGGACCCAAAATACAACCCAAAACAAATAATATCTCATGAACTTGTGTTATTAACCTTAAAGTTTATTGGCCCCAAAATATTATCCAAAACAAATAATTCCCATAGAGGAGGGACCATTTATACCATATCTAAGATTTGAAATAAGCAATGCCTATGTAAATGCACTAACGTCATACCGAGCGTTGGCGAGAGGTGAGGTGCGGCCATTGAATATATCATGTATGTGCATTGCATGGTGAGACCTCTGATCAACGGAAGAAATCTCGTCCATTCATTGTAGCAAATCACCGATCTAAACGGAAAGAATCTTGTTTCATGGTCACCCATAAAATGGAAAGGATATATAGATCGACGATTCCTTATCCATATGAGGTACAAACTCATATAATATTATTATTATTTTAAACTTTGCCTTTGTTGGCTGTTTGGTACATACTCATATAATATTGTTATTTAATGATTTAACCTGTTAAGAGATTTTTCAGCTATTTTTATTTATTTTTATCTAAGACATGATTTTCAGCAAACTACTCACAAGTAAAAACGATTTTTTTAAAAAATAAAACTTATATGTGAAACTACCTACAAGCTTATTATAGATATTTTTTTGAAAGAGATTGTGAAACAATAAATAACTCATTATGGGGCTTAATTTTATCGAAACAATGGGTTATCAGTTAAAACGAGTACACACAAACAAGCCCTACTGACGGAGTAATATTTGAGAACCACCCAATAGATGCTTGGTTATTTGGGTGTGGTTTTGTAAGACATAGGATTTACAGTAAAAAGTATAAAGCCACACCTGAAAATCAGTTCAAAAAATATATGGGAAATGCTGGCCTAGGTCCACTAGTTTATAACTACATATAAATCCAACGGTTCAGATTTAATCTGGGCCGATCTGACGGATACGACCTCATTTCGTATTTTAATTTTAATTTTTTTCTACATATTAAAATTATGTAAAATTTTAAACGTTTATTATTCTCATAAATGTGCGCTTAAAAAAAATATATTTAAAAAAAATCGTAAAATATAAATTGATCAAAATATCCCTATAATATTTTTTATTTTGGTCAATTTATTTTTTACGAAATATATTTTTGATATTTTTATTGGATTCTAATATTTTTAGACACCCAAAATTTCAAGTGATTTGTATTTATATACAAAACAATTAAAATTAAAATACGAGATACAATCGTAATCGTTGAATTGACTGAGATTCAATCGGGACTGTTGGACCAATATGTAGCTGCAGGTTAGTGGACCTACACCAGCATTTCCCAAAATATAACTCACACTGGAGTTGTAAAAATCTGCTTTTCTCCTCAATCAAAAAAATAAATTTGATTTATAATCATAATTTTCATATCTATAACTGTATTTTATATCCATAATTGTCAAAGTGGAGATGATTAATTCTAATGTTTTTAAGTTCAATATACAGTGAAATTTAAGATGAATTATAAGATTCCTCAAGGAAATTTACGCTGATATTTAAGATGCGGCATTAATTTTATATCGGGGCGAGGCTTACACCAACCTTTTCTGGTGTAAAAGAAAGGCAAAATTATAGATACCCCAAGGACCCTACTTTGTAGGCGTCCTCTCCTTTCCCCTAACCTCCCCACTTTTTCCAAAAAGCACTTTTTAAGCCACTAACCCTTTTTTACACCCACATTCCCAAGTAAACATGTATTTTTTTCCAAGATGAAAATACCCCTGACAACACACCATTGCTTAATTGACTTAGTATTTTAAAATAAAATCAGTCCGATTCAAAGTGCGTTGGAGTGCCTTTTGGTCTTTTTTGAAGCCGATTTGACGCATGTTGCACCGAATTTGCTTTGTTGTTTTTTTTGAGAGAAACATGTCATGTAAGCATATTTTCATCGTAAAGAATGAATTTTCTTTTACTTGAGAGATAGTTGAAAAGTAAATAATATTAAAATTAAGGGTATAGTTTACATAAGGTTGCAACATTAAACAATCCAATTAAAACGTGTCTTTAAATTTTATCACAAATATAATTTTGGTGTAAAATTTTTTTATGGCGGTTTAAAAATCTATTTTAATATCTAATTATAAATTTTAAATTTAAAAAATAGTTAAAATGGGCAGTCTAGTTAAAGTGTTGTAAGATACATTATTTTTTTAGACTCGAAACCTTTTTTTTTATTTCATATTTTTACATCTCGATGTCGAGATGATCAATTAAATAGTTTTTCGATGTTAAAACAACTTTTTAAAATAGATTTTTGAGGTTGCACCTGCATTTTTAAGATCGTAACTCCATATAAATTTTAAATGCGGTTTAAAACATATTAAGGGGCATGCTTTGAGTAAGGGAAAAATTTGATTGGTGCTTACAAGTGTTACATTCCGAAAGCGAGATGCCCCATAAAAATATTTAAAACTCCCCAAATAAATACTCAATAAATTCGAAGGCGCTTTTGTTCGTGTAAACACGAATACTCCATTTTCGTCGTGACACCCGTTTTTTTCGGACGTGCTCACGAATCTCCATGCGCTCGGTCCCATTTACAACGCAACAAAATTTATGAGTGCATATACTGTGCTCCTACAAAAGTATACTGGCCATCTATTCCTTCACGCAAAAAACTCATGAAGAATTCCAAAATTTTAGAAACTGGGTAATAAGAATTACAAGATAATTATTTTTAAAAGAGGAAAATTAAATTCTAAATTTTCTAATAAATGGATCTCACTCTCGGGATATCATATTCAATTTTGGACGGCATTTTGGACAGTCAAGAGACAATGTACTTATGGGATCGGTACGATGAGAACGTTACGATAGATGAACGATGTCCAATGTAGATGTAGCTTTAATAGATGATAAGATAAAATGGACTTAAGTGGGCTGATATAGACCCGATATAGAACATGTTATAAAATATGAGGTGGTTCAAATGGATGGCTGAACTCGAAAAGACATAGGAAGTAGTAGAAAACTATAAGTGACTTATAACCTCAATAAAGGTAAAGACCACAACCACGAATTATCAATTTCAAATAGTTAGAAAAATATAAGTGACCTATAACCTCGATGAGGTTAAAGACCACAATCACGAATTATCAATTTCAAATAGTTAGGAAAGGGCTCTAACAAAAAATAATGCCACGGTGTAAAGAGTTTAATTTAGGATTTGTTCTTTCTGAGTTTTGGGGTTGACGATGGATTTGAAATACTAAATGGGTTTTTATCGGATGGAGCAAGTGAACAGCAGTACCCGGAGGAGCATTAAATCTTTTTGCTTTATTATTCCTGTTATTTTCTCCGTGTTTCTTTTACTTTTGTTTGAGATCAGTTGCTGCTATGCCTGCAAGCACAAATCACGGACCATGAAATAACCAAGTTCGAGAAGAATTCCTTCTCTCTCTTTTTAATTTTCCTGCCATTGCTTAACATCGATGAAGAGATGCAGATCCGGTTTTAGAGGTAAATCTCTCTCTCTCGGTAAAATGTCTTTCTCTGTTAGTCTATCTATCTTCCTGTCATCTCTGTTTTTCTGCTGTTTTAGAGGACAAAGGATCCATATCCAATGCCCCTCTCTCTTCCTCTTTCTCTCTCTTTCTCTGAGGTTGAAATAGCCGTTTCCATCGTTTCTCCTCACTCTCTCACTCTCAATCCCAGTTGGTAAGGTATGTTCCGTTACTTCTCTCTCTACCTGTGTCCGGATCAATGGACGACCGAGATCCATTCTTCGGCAAAAGAAGGCCCATCTCTCTCTCTCTTTTTCTCCGTGTGTGTATGTATGTTTCTGAGGATCGATGGGCCTGTAGAGTGCATCCTCTGTCTCTCTCTCTAACAGAAGCGAGTTCGTTATAGAGTGCTTTCTGTGGTTATTTTTATGGATTGGGGTCTATAGTACTTTAACTGTTTTTCTGCATGATAATTACCAAAAAAGAGAAAAAGAGCAAGAGCTTTGATTGATGAAGGTGGAGTTTTTCCCCTTTTTCTCGATGTTTAGTTTACCGTTAATTTTATTTCCTGAGTAGTACAGTTCAAATTGTTTTGGAAACTCATATGAAAGAAAACCTGATTAACTCATGAAAAGAGAAAATGAATCTCTCTGTGAAGAAGAAATACGCTTTCTGATCTTCTCCTGTAGGCAAATTCGCATTATCAAGCTTTATATTTTTTTTTAAAAGCTTTTTACTTTTTAAATCGACTTATATTACAAATGTTTTCTCTCTCTCTCTCTCTCTCACATACACACTCACAGTCTCTTTCTCTCTCTCTCTGTCATCTAAATTTCTATGAGCTTGCTGTTGTCTGCTTGCTGTTAATAGCATCCTTTAGATTGTTTGCCCAGAGGAATGGAGCAAGTGAGCCTCACCACTTAAAAGTCGATTGCCACATGAGCTTCTAAAGACTTCTTGTGCAATCCATTCACAAACATTTAGATATTTTTGTACTGATTCATATGTTCTCACTCACTCTAATTATCTGATTCAAAATCTGATCCTTCCACTGATGTAGCCCTAGAAGGCCGAATTTACAGTATATAGGCATTCTTCACCTATCTAACTTTGGAGCATTAAAAGGTTGTTGCCAATTGATAGCCAAGTGATTTGTTAAAGAAAAGAAGTTATTTCTGGTTAAGTGGGCTTGAAAGAAGTACATTTGTAAAGTGAACCGCAAAATCATCTTTGTTGAAAGATTGCATAAAGGAAAACCATACTGCATTTGTTTTTAATGTTTTCTGTGGTTAGCTGTTTATTTGGTAGTATTAATTCTTAGCCAGCTGATGAGTATGGGATATAATCTACCGCATTCAGTAGCCCTATTTTTGATTTAACTTGGAAATTTATTTTATTTCGGTAATTGCGTTTGGCTATAACCCAAGATTGGTTTTTTGAATTTCAAGTTCTTTTTCCTATTGTTGCAGAAGGTTCTGCACATTCGATGGAGTGGTAATCTAAGGCAGGAGTAGCACAGCTGTTGTGTGTTGTAGAATGGGGTACATTGGGGTTCATGGTATTGAAGGCTTGCTTAGGCACAAGTATAGTGGTGTTGACAGATCATATGTAGCCAAATATATATTACAGCCTTTCTGGAGCTATTGCGTCAATCTCTTTCCCCTTTGGATTGCGTAAGTTTTTCCTTCAATTTGATTCATGTAACATGGAACCCTAATTTTATTATGATCATATTGAGTTTTATCTCTCTGTTTTTATTTGTATTTTTATTTTATATGATCATGCTGGGTTTCGCTATTTGGTTAATTTATGTCAAGCGGGGCATAGCTTATATCATGTTGGGCAAGCCTTGTGTGATTGCAATGGCATGTGAGGCTTACTAAGTTTAGTGGAAGGTCAATCAGTAACAATTTATCTAAATACTCTAGTCTAGTGGCTTCCTGAAATTGAGATGGGATCATAATGAAAAAAGATTTGATCAATACAATAGACAAACTGTAGAATTCTCTTAGGCTAGATAGAATTCTCTTAGGTTTGATAATAATGTTTAAAACTCAAGAAAACAGCTTGGAGCCAATAAACTGTAAATACATGTTGTAGATTTGTATTACTCCTCATCTCTTTCCTTCTAATATGTTAATTCTGCAAATTTGTGCAGGCCTAATGTGGTGAGTACTATTCATTGTCACCCCATCTCACAGCTTATTTGTAGGAAATGATTCCAAGTTTCTCTATTACATTCCTCGGGAGGTAATGTTTTTATGTGTGTCATGTTCGGATCTTGTTCATGTATTACTAATTTAAACTTGTGTTGTTTCTTCCATATTAACAGATAACCGCTGTGGGCTTGTCCTTTATTCTCACATCAGCTTTCTTAAGCTATGTAAGTTACATGGATCATCGTAACAATTTTAATAATTTTATGGAAGCACCGGAAATAATGTAATGTTTTTCTTATACATGCCAAAATATAGTTGCATTAGATACTGGGATTCTCTTCCATTAATTTTACTTTAAATATAGTCTTTCTGATTCTCTTCCATTAATTTTAGTTTAAATATAGTCTTTCTATTTTTTTATAAATTTTTTTATTTTTTTAACATGTTTTTTGCTGCTACAGTACTCGTTGAGTCAGGCCGAGGTATTTGCTATAAGTTCTATAAGCTCCTCCACATGAGGCTCTTTTTCTTAGGTGTCTTATGTACATTATTCTTGTGTCAATTTAGAAACGGGCTGAAATTTTACTTTTTCTAGTTTTCACTTCCATGTTTTCAGCATTTGGGTGGTTTTTTTCATTCACCTGTTTTGTATCTTTTCCCTGTGTTGAAAATAACTCCCGCTTGTGTGTAATGTATATTCTCAAGGAAACAGGTCGTTCTGTAATTTAATTGACGTCCATTTTTTTTATTAAGAAATAGCAATACCATCTTATGCTTAAAACTCGAAAAGCATTCTGACATATTTTCTTTCTATGTGACAGGTCTACTCACCCCTACTGGATTCTCCTCCTCCAAGATGGGTCAACTTTGCCCACGGTTTGCTATTGTTCTTGTATCAGGTTTGATTACAAGAATCCTGTAGTATGACATTGCATTTTAATTAGTCATCATTTACATCTTCAGAGGGTTTAGATTTTATGTGACACTTCATCCACTGGATAGACAGACATTTGATGCAATTGATGGGAAGCAAGCAAGGAGAACAAACTCTACAAGTCCTTTGGGTGAGCTGTTTGATCATGGTGGGTTCTTCATTACATTTTTGTTTGTTCTTAAAGGAATTTTATAGGAGATTTTTTGTGAGTATCCCTTTTATTCTATGGTATTAAATATGTCATGTAATGTTTACATTTTACACTCATGTTCCCCTTTTACAGTTTTTCCTTTTCATTTTTCCCAAAATGCCCCCGCACAGCACTCCAAGCGTTGAGGTCGGGTTGACACTTGGAATGCCAATCCAAGTGCCAACCCGCACTCAAGAACCCCTGTGGCAAACCCAGAATGTGGCTCTCTGAGCCTTGTGGCCATGGTATGTGATGACTTGACTTGAGCTTCGGCTCGGGTTGGCACTTGGAGTGCAGACATGAGGGCATTTTTTGGAAAATTAAAACGATGAGAAATTAAGGGACATGGGTGTAAAATATAAAAATTATGGGATATGTTTTAAATATTGCAAAAAAGGGACTTTTACGAATATTTCCCACTTTTGCATTTGGTTCAAAATATCCTCTTTCTCTGGAAACGTAACATCTGCTTTATATTTCTTTCCAGGTTGTGATGCACTTGTTTGTGCGGTATGTACCATATTAAGAACTGTTATTAGAAAATATTTACAACCATAGCGTACACATGGGTGCTAATTATCATGCACTTTCTTTCTCTTTGAGCATTCGTGAATCATTCTTCTTCTTCTTTTTTTTCAGTTTGAGACGATGGCGTTTGGGAACTCTGTCATGAGTGGACGTCATACTATATGGTTTTGGATACTTGCTGCCATCCCGTTCTACTTTGCAACATGGGAGCAGTAAGTTGATTTTCTTATTTTTCTCTATACTAAAAAATTCAGTTTCTTTCTTAACCTTGGATATCCTTTTGTAATGCACATGCTATATGGCTGATACTTATTGTGCATGTAGTCACTTTTTGGAGAGTTTTCTCGATTTAAGTGTTGAAAATTGAACCTTTTTAGAGCTCTTGATCCCCTCGTTTAGTTACTTATTTTAATTTAAGAATCGGTATGTCTTACCAATTCAAGAAAAAGAAGCATGTGCTGTTCTAATGTTACTAGATGAGGAATTTCTGTTAGTGGAATGTTACTATAGTCTTACTAGGCAACTCATTTGTCCAATCATGGGTATGTAAAAGTTTGATCTCATGCAGCATTATATATGAATGAGGAATATCCCCCTCATATATTACAGTCCGAGGACTGAAGTAAGAGGAATACCCTGTCAAAAAAGGCCTTCAGTAAGAGACCAATTTTCACCTGTGAATGGTAGAACTTGTAATACTGGAAACAATGTTGATGTGGGTCTTGTGATTTGTATTTGCACTTGATAGTGATATCTCCTTTTGCTACTTCGTAGCTACCAATCACTGATGAAAGTATATGTGTTGAGACACTTGTTACTAGGGCAGCGTGGTGAGCTTACACTAGGTTTGAATTTACAAATCCCCGGCTGGCCTAGTCCCTAGCTGAGCAAATTTGGTGGAACTTGGAAGGACTTGGCTGAATTTTATATATATAAAGAGGAAAGGTCAAAAGATTAGAAAATGATGGCCCTCAAAAAAAAAAAAAGGAAGAAAAGAAAAAGAATAAAGATTATATATTGGAAAGAAGTTAAATGAGTTTTTAAAACTCAGCAAATACGTAAACGGAGTCAACTTGATGATTCCTGAGTCTTATGCCTGAGGGTAACAATTTAGAACTAAGCTCTCAAGGGATGTAATGGAGGGTGCATGCAGATACTGTCTCATGTACACTATAACTGCTTAATATCTTTGATGGATCCTTTTTGAGGTTACTCTGGTGTTTGAAAGTAACGATAAAATTGTTGTTGAATTGGTTAGAATGCTTATATTAGTATATGAATTTTCTACTGAGAAAAAATTGTGGCATCTTTGCAATCTCACTGGCTCCTTTGTACTGTAGCTTCTGCTTGATCAGATGAGTGGATATTTCATGAGTTTGATCTTTGATGGTTTTTCATCTTCGAATTTAAGACCCCCATCAGAGCCTTCTGATTATATTGACTGTTTTTCCTTTCTGTTATATAATGAGTCATTCCTAGTGTTAATGTTGCAATCTATCCTATGTGGATTTTCCATATAATCTTTGTTTGCTTCACTTTTCTTTTCCCATTTGACTTACTATGCAATATTTGTGTATGATTTCAGCTTTTTTACCAACACACTCATTCTTCCTGAAATAAATGGGCCTACAGAAGGGTTATTACTTATTTACATGATTCACTTCTTTACATCTGCTGTTGGTATGTTTTTCTACATCCGTACTTATACTTAACACTTTAATGCTTATTCACCTACCTTATGATTGTGTGGAAAAATTTAATGATCAATCCTCTGAATGAATATTTTTCCTAGCATTATTTATTTTTATGTATACTCTGGTTGAGGCAGTCTTTAGTTTTCTGATAAAAAGAAGTTGACAGACTGTTATAGACTTATTTCCTTGGGAATCATGCCTTAAGTCATTGATTAAAATACTAACATATGTGTTTTGAAGTTTGCTTGTAACATGTCCTTGTTATGTTCCTAGGTGCTGAATGGTGGATACATGGTGTTAGAGATTCTATAAAGTTTGTAGATCACATTCCCCTAATTCCAAGTAAGAGGTTTTGCTCAAGTAGAAGTGGTGTTTGTGTAAATATGTGGGTTCTAGTATTTTTACACCTATCTCTATATGGATGAGAGTCATATCAGAAAATTTGCAGATATTGATTTTGAATCTTGTTTTTTTAACCTTTATAGCCTTAATGGTTGTCGATATCATATATTTGCCGGATATATAATAGTGAGCCTAGCCAAAAAGAAATGAAGATATATAATAGTGCACACGAAGATAGTTACAATATTCGTATAAAAAAAAAAGATAGTTACAATAATTTAATTGTGTATACGGCAAGCTGTTTTACTTATGTTTAATGACAACATGCAGATATGCCGATATATCAGTTTCTTATATTTTTCATGATGGCTGTTGGAGTTCTGCCGACCATTGTGTACAAGTAAGTTCCTGTTGGTTATAGAATATATTATGGGTCACATAATGATATAGTCAGATATATTGATTTTAATTTTACTTATTCAATTGTTTTTTTGGGTCTAAATTTTTTATAGATCAAACTATCGTAGACATCGTTCCAATCGACTCATGCTTCTTTTGGCGTTGTACATGTACACTTGATAGAGCTTATATAATGGTTTTCTTTTCAATCAAATAAAAAGCAGGACCAGAAAAAACAAGTGTTTTGCTTGCTTAGAATATATATTCGGCGGGTTACACGATTTCGAGTAGAGATTGCATGACCTTTTTGAGTTTACCTGCTGGATAACTCTCGTAGTCATCATTGTGTGTCTCAGCAATGCCTTTGGATGTGGTTTGCAGTATTTTTAACGTGCACAAAGTTCTTGCTTCACGGAAAGGAAACATGACAAATGCTTTGGCTATGGTGAACATCTAGACCTTTACAACTTATAATAATTATTATTATAATTCTCTTTTCATCCATCTTTGCATCTTTACTTATCTTTTTTTTTTTACTTTTCAGATTTTCCCATTCCTTGGACTTGTGGGAGGAGTTTTTATATGGTAAAGTTGTACTGTAAATCTCAAGTTTTCCATCTCCTAAATTAATCTAATACTTGCGGTTCTAATATTTTAATGTGAGCAGGGGTTGGTTATCTCCATCGGACGTACTGGCAACTGAGCCCCATCTCATGTTGATGGGAACTGGATTTGCTTTTGGATACCTAGTGGTGTGTTCTTTTTCTTCTTCTTTTCTGCTATTGCTTTTTGTTAGTAAACATTGAATGTAATCCCAGAGCTGAGGTTTTAGATGAATCATACCATTAGGCAACTTCTAGAACCATTTCACTATTCTTCTTCCTTTTACCAAAAAAGATTTTAAGTTAAAAGCAAACTGTTAATTCACTAATGTCACGGGTCCGACAAAGTTGATATTTAGCATTACTCTCACCTTTAATGTTGCTCAAGTTACTGTGTACTTGGCCATACTTGCTGTGAGGGCTCCAAGAAAGATCAGTAGATGTCTTTAAGTGCAACATCAACTGGGATATGGAAGACATTACTCTCCTAACCAACCTTGACCCATTTTATATGCAAGTAAATAGCCGTTGATGTTGTCACTTTTTTAGGGTGAGTCAGTGGGGAGAGGGCCCCTACCCTTGGTAGGAATTGAGCCTAGGACGTAGCGCTGCAAATTGTCAAGCGTTAACCAATTAAGCCCAGGCTCTTTTCTTAAATATTTCTAAATAAGTGGGCCCCAAGCAATAATTGATTCACTTTCCCTTACTAAATCAACCGAACTAAATTCTACATTATTAAACAAAGAAAGAGGTTGATGTTGCTATGGACTGACAAAAATAGTTAAAAGGATGACCTTTTGCAAACATCAGGACATTATGAACATATTTGATTGAAGAGTTGAATGGCTTCAGGCTGAAGTTTTCCCTTTAACCTAAACTATTTTCCTTCACCAGGGAAGATTGGTTCTCGCGCATATCTGTGATGAGCCCAAAGGATTGAAGACAGGAATGTGCATGGTATGGAATTGAGGGGTTCGTCATGTTCTTTTGAAAAATTACTTTCTTAGCCAAATGAATAGTTACTTTTAAATATAAGTTGAAACTGAACAGGGCGTCCATTAAATTTTTTACTGTGGACAGTCACTATTGATTCTCCCTCTGGCCATTGGGAATGCGTTTTCTTCCAGAATATTGGATGGGTAAATTAGTTTCTCACTTTTATGCTTGTAAAGCATCTAAATATTTACATGAATTTAGAGCTAGTGACAATTTTGAAAGCTACAATTAAACCGAAAATTTTGGTTTCATTGTCTTGCAGGGTTCCTTGTGTTAGTGAGCATATGATGGTCGGCCTTTATTGCTTTTTTACATGTAATGATACTTCCCTGCACTAGAAGCTTCTTATATATTGATTATTGAATCATTGTCAAGAAATTGGTGCAAATAATCGAGATCTCATCGCTAGTTTGAGACATTTTTTTTTTGGTGCTTTTTTTCTCCTTGAAAAAAAGTAAAAGTCACATCTTATACTGGAGGCTTAGATGTTTATTAAAATACTGGGGAAACCAGGCCAAAACTTTCGGGCCATCTTTTCAACATCGAACTACTTAGCTAAGTTTTGGTCCGAAATCCAAAAGTTTTGGCTCTTAGCATGGACCATTTTCTTAAATCCAAGGTCTTGAACTTTTCTTCAGTCATTATACATGTGATAACATTATCCATGCTCTTTGTTTTTCTTCTCTTTTGCAGTTTCTCTATGGCTGCACTTTGCTGTTGGTGTGACCCATGAAATTACAAGCGCTCTTGGCATTAAATGCTTCAGGTAAAACACCCACTTCAGTTTTTTTTTTTTCAATGTATGCACTTGTAGGTGTGTTTTCTGATCCAGCTCTAGACACTTGGAACTCTTCTTCTCCTTTTTCTTTCAATTTATATTAAACAGAAATCGTTTCGTAATTTGCAGAATAACACGCAAAAAAGCTTGAGATTAGGTCTCCATTCATCCATAATTTATGCTCAAACTTGTAAGAGAAGTTACTTTTGGGTCTCTTTTTCCTTTTTAGTGAACCCTTGCTCCTCCACTCTTATTGGAAAATTTGGTTAGATTTTTGTGCTATTTGTATTTATATATTCAAACACCTCAAAAGGAAACATGATGTAATATTGAGGTTTTATTATCGTCAATTCTGACTATTGAGGTAATCACTTTTTAGGTTTATTATATTTTTGACTTTCCTATTATTATTAGTTTTTGTCCTTTGGTGATGGCTTGAGCTTAATGGTGAAAAGTCTTATAGATTACGTTTTCGTTAAGTAAAATGTTTGTTCATGTTGGTCCTGTTGTACAAAATGCACCTTAATCAAAGTTGGCATGCGTGGCCTATCAATTGGTAATCATGAAATTGGATTATATTCGACCAAACTATTTTTATTTGTTACGAGGAAGTCACAATTGCTATCAGACATTAGATGTTAAATTGGATGGTTTGGAGTGTGTTACAAAATTAGAGAAGGTTTTTTTTGAAATCGGAGTCTTGTCAAAGATGCACTCATAACCACTCGATTTCAAATCTGACAAACGAGAATGTTTGACCTCCTGGTAGTAAAAGGGCACTAAGAAAATTTGTGTTATTTGATTGTGGCCTCCTGGTAGTAAAAGGGCACTAAGAAAATTTGTTTTATTTGATTGTGGCTGGAAAATTACTGGAAGTCTTTTCAAGTCCAGTTAGTATTAGAATTGAGTTTCAGGTTGTAAAGTTTCTTCCTCTATACTTGGATCTCGTACGAGGAGATGGAATCATCAAAACTCTAATCCTATTTAGACTTCTCTTTCTCAAACTCACTTACCCTAATATCAATGACAAGAGGGCATGCCCTCTGTTTTCTGGTGAACAAGGCAAGTTTTGAGGCTCATAGATCTAGGCCATTTTCCCTTGAATCTCTCTATATGGAAAGAAAGTAAAGTGTTTCAAAACCCATATTGGTGGGAGTAGCGTTCATCTACTGATTCAAGTCGGATTGTTGGATGAGCAATTTGGGAGTGAGATAGAAATCACTTTGTACCCATGTGCAAAAAGGAACATATGACTGTAAGGATTGTATATTATGAGATCAATTAGATATCAAATTGCATGGTTAGGGATGTTTTACGGGGTTTGACAAAATTTTTTTTTGAATTTTAAGTCTAGTTAACGGCGCATTTACAACCACCGATTTAAAATATGATGGATAAGAGTGATCGACACCTCTTTCTATAAAAAGTGAATGGTCTTTTTGTATACTTTTTTTAGTAGATATACTCTTTGACCCAATTTTCTAAGCATGCCCTGCAAACAAATTTTAAACTACATTAACTCAATCCTGCTTATTCTTGCGGCCACCTTTTTATACTTTGGGACCCATAGGGGACCCAAAAATTGGTCCAACACATTTATACTGGAACAACTTTTAGCCAAACAAATGATGCTGGTTTGTCCTTAAAAGTTGAACTTTTTACTTAGGGGTGGGGTCGAGAATAAAAAGTATTGAGGGTTAGTGATATGATTTAAAAGGGGAAAGAAAAATTGTTTCATGTGAGTTGGACCACATTTTTACAATATGATCCAAATAGGAGGTCCATCTAAAAATAATTGTAGCTAACGGTCCAAATGTTTTTTAATATAATTATATTTGTAGTTTTCAATTTTTTTTTCTCATATCGATCTCCATGTTAAAAATTATATGTTCTCTAAAAATTAGGATCAACTTATATTTTAGAAATATATTTATTGTCAAGTTTGGATTTCTACAATATGTAGGCCGACCGTATAGAAATATGTCCTATATTTCTCTACTATGTAAAAGATATATATTACGCTTTATCTAGCCGTCCAATTTAGATCAAGTAAGTCACTGATCGTTTGATCTAGACACGAGAGGATTTTATTTTTATTTTTTTCTACAAATTATATGAATATAAAATTTTGTACATGCATCTCAATGGGGAGCACCTGAAAACAATTTAAAGAAAAACATTTTTGATAAAAAGATAACGATCAAAATACCCCTAAAATTTTTAAGTCTATTTTGATATTGTTTTTATATATTTTTTTTAACAGGTGCGAGTTTATGAGGACGCCTAAATTTTGGTGTCAAAATATTTTATAAATTAAGGTGTAGAGGCATGACATTGTGATTAGGTCATCTCAGCCATCCATTTAAAATAGACGGTTGGATAAAAGAAGTACATAAATTTGATGACATTGTGATTGGGCCATCTCAGCTATTTATTTTAAATGGACGGTTGGATAGAAGAAGTACATAAATTTGATATTGTAGGAAAAATTTAGAAAGCTTGCTCGATTTAAAGTGTGAGGATAGAAGTGATGCCTAGAAAGTAGGGTGGAGGGGTATGTATAAGTTGGAAAATTGTTTCGTGTGGGCTGGATTTTATATAAAGATGGATGCAAGTAGGTGTTTTATCTAAAAACAATGCAAACTACTGATCCAAATATTTTCTCAGTAAAACTTATTATTTTTAGATTTTAAATTGATTTATTTTTTCATATTAGTGATGTCCGTGTTAGAGATTACATTTCCTTAAGAATGAAGTCTTAAAATCTATCTGAAAAATATATTTATTGAGAAGCCAGCATATCTACGGGTCCCTATAAATTTCCCTTTCATAGACCAGGGAACGGGATGGAGGACATTAGTGCAAGCCATGGGGTGCAATAACAGAGAGAGAGAGAGAGAGAGGACATTGATTCATGTCAGAGAGGGAGAGTCTCATAAAGGAAGGGGTAACTGAACAACTCATCTTCTTCTCTTGCTAGGCATTACGACACTGCAACTCAAATAAATGCAGTGTAAGAAAGATGGTTGGGTCCTCATTCAATACAACACCTCGCCTACTGTATACCCCAAACCCTCCTTCCTCCACTCGCTCTCTCATCTGGTCAAGTTTGCGATTTTAGCTCTCTCTCTCTCTTCTCTTTGAGTGTGAACTCGGAAGGCATATCTTTGTTCATGGGTTTAATGCCCATGTATCTCAGCTCTCCGTGCTTCAAACTTATCTTGCTTCTCTGCACATTAATCATCTTGTTTGCTCAACCTGGAACTTCGTCCTCTCTCTCTCTTAATTTCTATGAAGAGTCATGTCCAAATGTGGAGATGTTGGTGACAGATGCTGTGAGATCAGCTTCAACCTTCGACCAAACTGTTCCTGCAAAACTCCTTCGCTTGCTATTCCATGACTGCATGGTTGAGGTAATAACACCCCAAAATGGAAAAACTGTTAGCTATTGCTTCTTTATCTTCAAACTTCTTCTGGTTTCTCGTGAGAGAATCCAAAAACCAGTATTCAATTTGAATGCTAAGCTAAGCTTTCTCAAGATGTTTGATTTGAGATTTGTTGTTGTGGTGGGGATATTTATTTGATTTGAATTTGCAGGGATGTGATGGGTCTGTTTTGGTAGAAGGGAATGGGACAGAGAGGGCAGATCCTGCAAATGCATCTTTGGGAGGGTTTCAGGTTGTGGAATCAGCGAAAGCGTTGGTTGAAGTCTTTTGTCCCTCGACTGTTTCTTGTGCCGATGTACTCGTCTTAGCTGCTAGAGATGCTGTCCGATTGGTACACTGCCTCTCTCTCTCTCTCCACTCTTCGGATTTGATCAGTAGTAGGGGTGGCAACACGCTGGGCCCGGCCATCGTAGTCCCTAGAGGGCCACCCCTACCCCTGCCCCTGACCGTGACCGCATCAGGGCCAGGCCAGGTAGGGATTTAATGCTCATGTTTCTCAAACCTGGCCCAAGCCTGCTAAGTTGCAGACCTGGCCCAAGTCCGGTATGACAGGCTCATGGTGGCCTGGCCCTAAGGCCCAAGTTTATGGCCTAGGCCCTTGTGTTTTAGGGCCAGCCGGGCCAGGATTGGTTGAGAACTTAGCAGCCGGGACAGTTGAACCCTAGTAGCTCCTAACCACGGGGTGAAGAGGCCCGAAACCAAGCCCAACACCAATGAACCTTAGAAGGTCTATAAGAGACTACACCTCATCTCTCACTCTCTTTCCCTACACAAATTATTCGAGAGGGAGTGTGATAATTGTTTTTAAACATATAGGGTGGAGGGCCAAATGTGAGGGTTTTAATGGGAAGGAAAGATGGGAGGGTCTCATCGGAGGCAAATGTGAGGGCCAACATAGTGGACACCACCTTCGACCTCGATCAAATGACCAAAATCTTCTCCTCCAAAGCCCTCAACCTAGATGACCTTGTCGCCCTCTCAGGTACTCTACTTTTACCACCCAATTCCTTATTTAGGAGAGATGCCACTAATTTTTTTTTATAATTGACAATAGAAAAGGTATATAGGAATATGAGTGTTAGAAATATCAATATTTAAATTGCCATTTCAGATACTATATATATATATAAATAAAGGTCTCTATACTTCCTCTATAGCATAGAAGATCTATGCTTTCGCTACCATCCATCTGTCCAATTTTGATCAAGAGAGCCACTCACCATTTGTTCTTAGATCCGACGTCTCAAAGTATTTTATTTTTAGATTTTTTTATACAAATTATATGAATGTGAAATTTGGTATGTACCATCTTCTCATTGGGACGCACCTATAAAAAATATTTAAAATAATTTTTTCGATAAAATATAACGACCAAAATACCTCTTGAAACTTTCAAGGGTATTTTGGTCATTTTATTTTATTGAAGATATTGTTTTTATATTTTTAGCTAGTGCGAGTTTAATAGAGGATTGGATGTACAAAATTTGGTGTTAAAATAGTTTGTAGAAAAAAATTAAAAATAAAATAGTATGGAGATGTGACATTGTGATTGGGGCAATCTTTGCTCTCCATTCAGAATGGATGGTTGGATAAAGGGAAGTATATAAGTTTTATATTGTAGAGGAAGCATAGAAAGCTTGTTCGTGTATATATATATATATATAAAGTTGGGATTAGCTCACTAGCTCATATGAACATATGAGCCCAACGGTCCAGATTGAATTTGGGCTGATCTGACGATCACAAATGTCCGGTAGTGCTTGAATTTTATTTTATTTTTTTACAAATCCAAATCACTTGAAAATTTATGTGTGTGTTCTTCTCATCAAGGTGCATCT